TATTGTACATTGTAAATTGTAAATTTGTATATTCTGTAATGCAAAAACAGAACAAAAGAGCAAGTGTACCGAAGTCAAATTCCTTGTTTGTATGCACGAACTTGGCAATAAAGCTGATTCTGATTCTTATGATTCATACTTAAGTTTAAAGCTTAAATTTAATAAATATTTTAATCCATTAATAATCTTTCTAAAAATCTTAAAGTATTTTTAGAGGCCAGTATACCAAAGATATTGGCATACTGGCAAATTGGAAATTATATATATTTTAACAAAACTTTGTATGATAACAGCTCAATGGTGCGGTAGGGATAAAACGGTTGACCCATATATGGTAGTTACAATTTTGGGTTTTTTTAAGATATTTTTTCAGCACTAGTGGCCTTTATTTATTATTTGACAATAGGTAGACAGGAAAGAGGGGTAGAGGTAGGGGGAGACATTTAGCAAATGTCGCCGGGTCTGGGACTCGAACCCAGCATCAGCTGCTTCAAGGACTGTAGCCTCTGCAAATGGTCGCGTGCTTAACCCCTACACCATCAGCGACGCGCCCTGGTTACAATTTTTGGCACAGTTATCAAGTGTTCGAGTCCCGGCCATTGACCTTTCAGCTAGTTAGCACTCCAAACTACTACAAATGCATGTATAAATATATCTTCTGTCTTCTCATATGTACAGTCTGAAACCCCTTATTGTTCATATTTTATGTTTTCTTGAGCCAAATTGGCTTTGTGTCTATTTGTGTCTGTAAAAACACAATTCATGCTTGTTCTTTACAGATAGGATTACTTACCAAAAATGGGATGTACTGTATGTCACAAGCATGTTGAAATCCCAAATATGTATAAGGAGTGACAAATCAGTCACTTGGCACAAAGGTCACTGGGGTCAATAATTCAGAATTGTGTAAAAGTTGACTTGCAGGGCAATCTTTCTTTCTCTCACATACACTCTCTGTATTTTTCATCTCCTCTCTCTGGGTCACTTTATCCTGGAAGATCTTGTCCCTCCTGTCTCTCTTCCTTTCTCTCTTGTTGCCCCAGTCTTTTTGCCACGTGTTCCCCTCTTTCTCTTCACCCCATTTGATGTTGGTCCACTTTTAAAATAAAGTCCACTAGTGCCACAAAATTTAAAAAAAATCAACAACAGCAGTCAGGTAGCATTGCATTATCTGGCTGATGAGATAACCTTAGTTATAAAACCAGTCAGGTTTTGTTTTATTTTCTGTTTTTATATTTATTTATTGGTTTATTTATTGCTTGCCCTCAACTTTCAGGTGCAGATGTGGATGCCTCTCCAGGAGAGATTTATGAAAATTTTCAGGCATTTCAAAAAGGTGAGAGAATCATGTAGAAAATGATCACAAATGACAATGGAAAAACTTAGTTATTTGGGTTTTCTTAGTTAATGATTAGTTTCTAGCTGCTTTCTAAACAACCACTGCTGTTGGAAAATATTAAGAATTAAGGAAAAGGAAATGCTAGACCTATAAGGTTAGAACAGTGGGAAAATGATAAAACAAATGAATTAAAATATAATTTTTACATCTGATTTGATGAAGAATTCAAAACTCAAACCTGATTGCAAACAAGACGGTCAAAACATTTATGGTTTCTTTAAAGTTGTTTTCATTTCATGCGGCGGTGATTGGGGGTATGGTTTTGCGTTGGTAGAGGAGCTTTGTGTCGCTCCGGGTGCAGGTACCCTGATGGCACGTTTTCTTTATTTTTAATTTATTTCCCCACGTGTGCATGGTTGTCCCTTTGCGTGGGACCCTTGCCTTGCCATCACGGCGTGTTGTGTGGTGGAGGGCAGAATCCGGTGGGGGTGCTTGGATGGGGCTGTGTGTGGAGCTTGCGCTGTGTGGATGTGCCTTCATCAGCTTTTAGGGGGTGGTGCTCATCTGTGGGGGTGTGCTTGTGATATCTCCACACCCACACAACTAGTTTGGACTAGTGCTGGGATGGTCTGCCTGTCTCCACCCCGAAATAAAGGGAACCACCTCCTGGGTCCGGGAGCTAGTTCCCCCCCTGGAGTATCGGTACCTGGACCTGTGAGTATAGAGTATGTATGGGGAGAGTGAGTGAGTGTACAACGTCCATTGTTTGTGTGTCTTTATGCTGGGTCTGTTGGTGTGAGTGTTTTTATGTGTATTCATGAGGATGGGAATGTGTGATTGGGACTATGTGTGCCTGTTTTTGTGCATGGTCCTTGGGCTGCTCCCTCTCCTGGATCAGCTAAGGCCCTGCATGAAACATGGGGTCTATTTCCTCCCTGCCCCACTCTCACTCACTTAAAACTGTGCACATATATTTATATTATATTGTAGATATGTTTATACTGTTTAATTTGTATTGTATTGCACCGACTACGCCAAAACAAATTCCTTGTATGTCCAAAAACGTACTTGGCAATAAAGCTTTTCTGATTCTGATTCTGATTCTGGTTGGTGTCTCTGTCCGCTGGTGTATTAGTGATTCTCAGTGTCCGGGGCTGGATGCCTTGCTGTGCTTGGCGAGTTCTGGGCCCCTGGGCTCTGTGGGGCCTCTGCTTGGGGATGATATGACCAGGGATCTTGGGTCTCTAGGTCCATAGCTGGATCTGCTCTGGCATAGACGGCTGCTGGCGGGGCCTGTGGGCTCATCGCTGCAGCTCCCTGGGGCTTCTGCACTGTGGCTTCTGGGCGGTTGCCCTTGGGCTCTCCTCTGCTATTTTCTGGGGGGGTTGTGGTAGACCTAGCCGTGGTCCTCCTGTGGTTCCGGTGCTCTTGGGGGCCTTTGGATGTATGTGGCTCAGATCTCCTCTGTGGTCTCTGGTTCAAGGGGGCAGGTCTGTGGCTCCTCACAGGTGTTTGGATTCAGATGTTAACAGACACACAGATGTTATATATTGAGGTGCAGTTGGTACTAAATACATCTTGCATTCATTAGTACCATGCACTTTTTGGTAACATTGCTGTTGTTATATTTGTTTCAGCAGGTAGGAAGCAGTCTTCTAAGGTTTTATCTTGTGTTCTCTCCATGGTTCTGTTTCTCATTTTCTCCTTCTTTCCCCATTTCCTTTTTGCCTCACCTCTCTCTCTTTCTTGCTTCTATTTTTCCCTTTTTGTTCCTGTCTCTGTGTCCATTGCAATTGAAAAACTCCCAAAGTAGTTGCTAATAAAGTTTTTTTTTTTCAAAAAGTATCAAGCAGAGCATTATGACATTAGCTGTAATCCTCCACTTGTGAAAGTAAATCTGTTGGGCTTCTTCTTGGTACTCAGACAATAATTCTAAATGCTACTCTGCTGGACAGGACACGTAAAAATAAAAAAAAGAAATTATCTTTATTTGAAAAGCATTTACATATACAAACTTAAAATTAAAATCAGGGAAAAGATGAAAGAACAACATGAATATGAACTCCAGTAAAACACAGTTTATCTTGAAGTTCTATGTTTGACAGCATAAAGCTGTAGGTCCTTGTAAGGTTAAAGGCATGCATGTACTGAAAAATCCCTAAAACTGTAAATGCCTCATTAAATTTCACATTCCTTAGACTCTGATTTGTGGTGGAAAATCTCTTTTTCTAACTGAATAAATATGAATGTAGATATAGTAGAATGGTGAAGACGATAATCTGTGTTCTCATGTACACATCAGTGAGAAAGTTCAGTTACTTTTGGTAACGAACAACTTTAAAGCTTGGCGACAACAGTTTCTGTTTAGGCTCCATAATCCTTCCCTCCATCTGAAAAATATCTATGAAAAATACGCTTCTCTGTGAAAATGAAACTGGACGGCATCATTCTGAGAGGGACAGAGAAGAGATGACCAGTGGAGGTTCTTTCCTTTAGACCTCAGCAGTTTGATCTCTATCAGACGTAAGGACACTGACGCAAAAACCACTTTGTGAGAATAAAAGCTGAAATTAATTAATGGTGAGAACCAGATGAACCAAAACTTTAGACCTGAAAAATGGGTTTACTTAGATTTTATCATGATTTTCAGTTTCATTCCTGAAAAAAAAAAATTTATTCACCACTGTTATTTCCTCTGTTTTATTCAAAAGAAAAGCAGAAACCAAAAGTGAGCTCTGAAGTGACACCTAAAGACTCTGGTACTGACGTCCAAAGTAAGTCATATTTCCCAAATGAAACGTTCCTGTTTTTTCCCCAATCTGCTCATTATCAAGAATACAGGAACATCTACTCTCTCATCTGTGCCTTTATCGCTTCACCAAAGCTTCCATGTATATTAAAACACAGAAATAGCTACAAAAACATAATGCTAATGTAAACACAGAATATCTGTGTTTGTCTTCCTCCAGGTTTTTCTCATATTACAAAGAAAAGGTGCTTTCCATAAGTCCATAAGTCTAAGTGTTATCTTGTAAAAGTGTAGGAAGACATCTCCAAACATGATTTTTTTAGCCTGTTCTGCAGGATTTTCCAGAATAACACAAACATTTTACTCTTGAAGAGTCTAGTATTTAAGGGAGTTTTTATCTCCATTTCATCTTTAATTGGACAAAATACAAGAATAGTTTTCTGGTTTGATGTCACCCGTTCCTGCCCCTGGCAGACATTTGACTATGGTCGCTGGTGTCTCTAGTGCCACGTTTCTGACTATGGAGCTGCCAATTACCAGAGTCGGTTTCTCAGCGGGTGTCTTGCTAAGCGGGGAAAATCTGTTAGAAACACATATGGGTTGGTGGTGACCTGTGGGCTGGGATCTAGGACTATGCTTTGTACGTATCGTCACCCAGCCAGCCTGAAGTCCTGGTTGTGCGGGCTCTGCTAAAGGACTGCTACAGGGAGATACCCTTGGTGACTCCGCGCTGGCTAAGGGGCCTTGACAATCTACTGATTTTTCAACACCGTGGAGCCGGGCCTCAAATTCCGACACGCTCGCCTCCAAAACTAGAAAAATGCTACTTTTATTGCACGTACCATTATCACTAAATGAGGCAGAGGAGGAACTGCACATCTGAAACATAGAGCAGGAGAGTGGAGGAGACAGAAAAAATACAGAGAAACAACAGAACTGGTAGCCATGGTGGAGCTAAAGCTAATGCTAAGCTAGTGACCCCTTACCACCACAATAAAAACCGTGTAAAACACAGTAGATCCCCAAACATTAAGTGCTGCAGAAAATATGTTTTAACGTGCCATTGTGTCAAAATAAGTGATAGATGTCAGAGTAGAGAAATCAGATCAAATCAAGAGAGCCTTCATACACCAAACAATCCAGAGTGCAACAGTGAAAACAGGAAGTAATTTAATACGCCTTACCACACTTCTTCCTCCTTACCATGTTTGACTATCCGTTCGTCCGTCTATCCGTTCGTTCGTCCGTCTGTCCGTCCATCCATCCATCAATCCATCATCGATAAATTCATCCGCCTTTCGTCCGTCCATCCATCCATCATCGATAAATTCATCCGCCTTTCATCCATCCATCTATGCTGTCTCCATTGATTTACAGTCAGTGTTGAAATGAGGAAAACTGAAGCAAACCTTGAAGTCCAGATGGAAAAGAGAAGAAACTTGGAGAATCAAACTGAGAA